TTTTTCCTTACACAAATTGGAATGGAACCATTGCATTTTCTCTGGTAACTGAATGACATGAGGCAAGAAACCCCATCCCTTTTCTGTTCTTAGTTTTAGGGAAAGCAGAAACGCCTCACAAGTTCAGCACAAGAGAGATTAAGAAGTGCAGCAACCTCAGTTTTGCTGCTATTATTAAGATGTTGAATTTGGCATTCTCAACTGCAGGCTATTCTGGACCTCTAAAGGCAGTGCCTCATGAGAAGTTCAACAGCACAGCCATCCCCAAAGGCTACCAGTGCCCTTGGTTGAATATTGTTGACCGGAGCTTCAACAGGTAGTGCCTACATACCTTTTCTGTATTCTATTAGTATTTTCATATGGCATGCTCAGAATACCTTTCATTCTGGAATGTATGACTTGTGAATATTGCTAACATAGAAAATAGAAAGTAGAATATTTTGAATTAAGCATACATTCTAGCAATTTCTAAACAAAATATATTGAATTTCAAAATGCTGGTTTTGATCTCGAAATCCTAAACGTTCTTTGTCCTGGATACCTTGGAGAGTTTTTTCCTCCTTCCTGAACTTTTGACCTTTTAGAAGATTCAGGACCATAATACATATTATACACCACTGGCCCTTTTTTGTTTTAAAAACTGCTTCAGGAATGCATGGTTGATGATAACCCTAGATAAATGAGTTGCCAACCTCCAGGCGGTCATAATACATATTATACACCACTGGCCCTTTTTTGTTTTAAAAACTGCTTCAGGAATGCATGGTTGATGATAACCCTAGATAAATGAGTTGCCAACCTCCAGGCGGTGGTTAGAGATCTCAAAGCATTACAACTGGTCTCCAGACAACAGATCAGTTTCTCTGGAGAAAATGGCTGCTTTGGAGGGTGGGCTCTACAGAATTATACCCTGCTAAGTTCCTACCAACCTAGCAGTTCGAAAGCAAGAAATTGCAAGTAGATAAATAGGTACCACTTTGGTGGGAAGGTAACAGCATTCCGTGCGCCTTGGTGTTTAGTCATGCCGGCCACATGACCACGGAAACGTCTTCGGACAGCGCTGGCTCTTCGGCTTTGAAACGGAGATGAGCACTGCAACCCTAGAGTCGGGCTCGACTGGCTTTTGAGCAAGGGAACCTTTACCTTTTTAAGTTCCCTAGCCCCCCCCCCACCTCCAGGTATTTCCCAATCCTGAGCTGGCAAATGGTGGTGGTGGTGCAGGTGAGTAATTAATCCTTTTTCCACTTACCATTTCCCCACACAAAATTGTGTTCTAGTGACTGCCTTTCCTTCCCCAGGTTGAAAAAGCTTGTTTAGAAGGGCTGTTTTAAGTGGCATTGACAGGGTGCACTGAGTTTTACCATCATTTCTGCAAACCATTCTTACAACCATATCTGTGGAAACAGATGAAGGCTGATCTTCAGTACAAAGATAAAAAATGATCAGCCCATCATATACACTGCTAGCTACAGCCACATTTTTACCTAGCTTATGGCAAATCTTTGCCTTTCACAGGAGTCTGAACTGAATCAGAAGCCATGACCTGACACTGCAGTTTTGTGTGCCACCACACCAATCAGTCCCTATTGACATAATTTAAGAAGGCACTTTTTGTACAGGAGAACCCTTTATAACAATTATTTTTAAAAAGGTAAGGCTGTTCCCACCACCTACAGCAGTTCAGGATTTAACCAAAGGTGGACCATTCTTGAAGACTCCCAAAGCCTGACAGAACTGCCAGTATAGGAGCCCAATGCTTCTGTGGCCCTATTCTTGTAGTAATACATTATTTACCACATAATTGTTCAAGAACCACTAATGAATTGGAGACTGGGGGTTTAAGCCTGTATCTCAAGGCTAACCACAAGAATAGAGTTTTTACACTACCTCAGTTCATCCTTTTCCTGGATTCCATAACACCCACTGTTTTGATTAGATGTGAAATAACCGTGGAAAGTATCAAGGATACCAGGTTATCCTTCTACAAAGTATTAAAAGCTCGTGATTCTCTGAACATTGACATCTCAAGCTACTCTGTTGGATCCAGCGGGAAAACGCTTCACACTCATGTCACGTTAGCACATATTAATATATAGGAAAGTCATGACTGTTTATATTCATCATGGCATAGCAGCTGCTTTGCCATTAGTTTGTGAAATACCATCATAATATGGTTATCAGTTTGTTGAAGGGACCCATCGAATAATATGGTTACGTTTTTCAAATGTGGTCACAATTTAACCAATAATGCATTTGTTGGACCATTCTACCAGTTAACAGTTCATTCTGTTAAAACATGGTCATTTCAGAACATGAACTGGGTTAGAAGAGAACAGAAATAACACTCAAATGTTTTATGAAGAATGTCCTGGAACATCAGAGCAAAGGTGGCCAAATTTGTTGTTTGTGGAGACAGTTAGCTTTTATGGTTGTTGTTTTTTAAAAAAATCATTGAGCCCACTTTTAGATTTAGGCAGGGCTACTCTCATGTATGGCTGTGAGAGTTGGACTATAAGGAAGGCCGAGCGCCGAAGAATAGATTCTTTTGAACTATGGTGCTGGAGAAGACTCTTGAGAGTCCCTTGGACTGCAAGAAGATCAAATCAGTCAATCCTAAAAGAAATCAACCCTGACTGTTCCCTGGAAGGCCAGATAATGAAACTGAAGCTCAAATACTTTGGCCACCAAATGAGAAGGGAGCACTCACTGGAGAAGACCCTGATGCTGGGAAAGATTGAAGGTCAAAGAAGATGGGGACGGCAAAGGATGAGATGGTTAGACAGTGTCATCGATGCAACGAACATGAAATTGAGCCAACTTCAGAGGACGGCGGAAGACAGGAAGGCCTGGCGTGATCTGGTCCATGGGGTCGCGAAGTCGGACTCAACTGTGCGACTGAACAACAACTCTCATGCTTCCATCTGCCCATTTCTAAAATATCTTTATACTTTCCCCATGAGAACAAAAAGGATGCCCTTTGTCCAATTGACAAACAACCCCAAGTCTTGGGGATAGCTTAGATGTTGTAGAATCAGTGTGGTGGGGTGGTTAGAATATTCTGACTAGGGCATGGAAGACCCAGGTTCATTTGCCTCACCCACCCATGGAAGTCTGACTGGTTGACCTTGGGCCAGCCACACACTCTCAGCCTAACTTATCTAACCTATTTCACGGTGTTGGTGCTAAGGATAAAATGGAAAACAATGAAAGCTGCTTTGAGTCTCCACTGGACTGGGGAGAAAGGCAGGCTACAAATTCAGTAAATAAATATAAGCTCCCATCACTTTATCCTGTGCACTTTCAGAGAGGTATTTCAGACTGTTTT